TATCTACTTTTCTGTATTTGATACCACTTTGACAAAAATGAAGGAATTCAATTTTTAATATTTTTTTTGAAGATAGAATTGAGGATGAAGATGGTCTGAGAGATGTTAATAAAAAATTTATGAAAAAAAGGGGGGGTTTAGTTTAAGAACTGATATTAAGATTTTATAAGATAAATAATATAAAATATCTTTATATGTGACGAATTTAAAAATAAAAATTAATAATATTATTGAGGGTCTTAACTAATAAAAAAAATATTGGATCTCTCCTATTACTAAAAGTTAGGAATGAATATTTTACTAATTTCTCAAAAAAACAAAAAGAATATATTACTAATTTAATTAGATACCTAATCTTATACTAATTTTATTAATTCTTTCACTAATCTAATGTGGTCACCTTTGGTGGTAAGATTATTTTGCTTTGATCAAATAGGATACAATTATTGATAAAATTGTCAGGTATAAATTATATTATAGAATTAGATGGGATGAAATATTATATATATGACAAAATTTTGAAAATTAAGTTATACTTTTGAATAATAGATGTGAAAAAATCCTATGTTGCAGATTTCTTTAATGGTGTGTATCATATGCAATCGAATATAAAATGTGTAATTTTATTACAAAATTTTGTAATATTAATTATAAAGTACACAATCACATTACAATTTTATGTAATAAAATATTCAAAAAAAAAATATTAATGTAACAAAAGTGGTGGTGGACTGTGTGGGCTGGCCGGAAGAGTGAGAGAGAGAGAGAGGAAAAAAAATGGATGAAAATTTATTTTTCAAATAAGTGAAACCAATTAAAAAAATAAGTATATTATAATGACGTATGTATATCAAAATATAAATTTGTTAAATTATATGTGTATGTTTATGTATATAAATAGAAAAATACTATGAATCCACCCCTAGGAACTCATAATTTATCTCGAATGAGTTTGTGTGGTAGATATTAAATTAATGAAATATGAGATTCATGTGTAAAATGAATTTGAACCATTAATTTTTTATTTTTTTTTTATATGGATAAATTCTGAGTTGATAATGAATTTGCAGTGTTGTTGATACAAATAAATAAAATTATATTAAATTTTATGTTGCGACATATGCAATACCCATACTATTATTAAGTGAAGGTTTATACTATGGCCTAAATTGGTTTAGTGAAGCCTTCTTCTCCTCATGCCAGATTTGGAGTGGTTGCTGTGCGAGGGTGCACAACCACTGTTGTACAGCCAAATGAGCCAATTTCGGGGCTCATTTCGATAATATGAACCGTTCACATTTTAGAATACATCATATAGAAAATACCTACAAAAAATCAAGTTAATTGGATATCGTTTACCTATTCATCCACTCACATTTGTATCTATAAAATAAATAACAATTGTGATTTAAAGTATTAAAATGAATACAATTGTGAGTGGATAAAAGGGTAAACGATGTTCGATTAATTTAATTTTTTATAAGTATATTCTACTTGATGTATTCTAAAATGTAAACGGCTTGGATTATATAAATGGATCCCAAAATGGGACCATTTAGCTGCACAATAGTGGCTACTGTGCACCCCAGCATAACTGCCACTCCAAATTTCCTCATGCCACGTTGCAGTTTTATATATGCTAAAATAAAATAAAAAAATTATTATACACAGTATAAGTAAGTTTTGAACCCAAGACATTGGGTATAATTAAAAACATACTTATCACTTAAGCAACATACATATTATGATATTAAATTCTTCACTATTTATTTTTATTATTAGTTATTTGAATTGCACACGCATTACGTGTGTTACCCGCTAGTAGGAGAATAATTTTATGTCTAAAAAGTTTAACTTAAATAAATAAATATAATTTTAATTATAAATTTATTTTTAAATTGAATATTCACTTTAATAGTCAATATAGTAGGAGAATTAATAAATTAAAATTAAATAATAACTCTAATTATTTAATTCAATTATTTATTTATTTTTCCATTAAAGATATTTATAAATTGAAATTAAAAAAAATAAAAGTTTAATTAAATATGGGTTTCGACATATCTATAATTAGAAAAAATTACACATAACGTAACTTAAATAAATATTAATGATAACTTTAGGATAAGCTTCCATCCATCTCATCTTTTTATATATTTTCATATTCTTTTTGTAAGTTTCAATCTGAATTCGCATCGATAATCCGAATCATCTTTCTTGTAGGTTTTACAATAAGGGTCATCCATGCAAAAAATTAACTTCATCAAAAAATTATAAATACGAAAATAAATCACATTTTGTTTTATAAAATGACTAGTAAATATAATTAAATTTAAACCGTATATTTTATAAAATGAAATGCGATTTGTTTCTATGTTTATAGTTGTCCGATGAACTTAATTTTTTGCATGGATGATCTTTATTGCAGAGCTTACGAGATAGAAGGTTCGGATCATTAGTGTGGGTCCGAATTAAAATCCATAAAAGAGGTATGAAAAGGTATGGAGAGGAGCTTATCCCGAATCCTGATAACTTGATATAATATTAAGGGAGACTTACGTGTAGGTCCTACTAAGTAGAATTATTGTTCAATAGTTCGTATGATAATTAATGACATTTTTCATCATACACTATTAAAAAACATCACTAATTGTTAATCTTTAGCGACAGTTTAAAAATTTTGTCACAAAAATGTCACTAATTATAAGTTGTAGTGACAGTTTAAAAAAATCGTCACAAAAAAGTCAATAATTTTTAACTTTCAATAAGAGTTTGAAAAATTTGTCACAAAAAAAGTCACTAATGATAAATTTTAGCGACAATTTATTAAAACCATGACAAAAAAGTCATTAATTGTTAATTTTTAGCAACGTATGTAAAAAAAACGTGACAAAAAATTATTTTTAGCGACAATTATAATAGGTTTTATTTTCAACATGACTTGATGGAAATTAAGTCAAACTATTAGAACCTATTAGTAGTTTACTGTAATATTTAAATTATAACGTAACACAATGTTATAAGCACAAAAATAAAGATTTATTAACTTATTTAATTGGTTACTTAATAAAACTAATATTTAAACAAAAATTAATATACAAAGAACTTAGGTGTGTATATGGAAACCTATTAATAGAAATTAAAATCAAAATGTAAAATTTGTAGACTAAAATAAATTATTTTAATTAGATAAATGGTTGGATTAGAAGGAAAAATGCAAAATCGATTGATGTGCGATTCTTCAATTTTAGCCACATTCCATAAATTCACATGTGCCAAGAGAGTTAAGCCTATATTAATGAGGTGTAACAAATTTAAAATTTACACAGATTATTGTAGGTCAAGTTCTGAAAGTTTTTGTGGGTTTTAAACATTTTCCTTCTATAAATATAACACTCAATTTGATAATAAATAAGTAATTAGAGTGAGTCAACCTAATACTCTTATGATGTACTATTTCAAAAATATATAATTATAAAGAAATAAGCACTACACCATAATTTGTGTATGATGTTTTATTTTTTATTTTTTGACAAACTCGTGTATGATTAAAATTACAAAAAAATCACCTTATTCTATTATGCTTTTGTTTCCAAGTTAATGAAATCATCGAGAAATTTTGGCAACATCCCCAAAAAAACAACATTTAATACTTAAAATTAAAGAGGAAAATAAAGAAGAAGAGTAACATATGTACTAAAACAAAAATTCATGAGGAAATATGATAATACAACACTTTATCCTACTTAAAAAAATAGAATAATTTACCTTCCAAGTTAAAGAACCAAGATGCTTTGCAAGAATAATTTAAAAATAGAAACAAATGATAATAATAAGTTACAACAAAATAAAATAAAATAATTAAAATCTAAACAAAACTCACATGAAAACTGTCATATCGAAATCTTGATGATCACTATATAATCAAATATATAACGCCATTGCAAAATTGAAATAAAACCTGTAAAAATAGAGTGTTGAATGTTGTCTTTTTGGAAGAAAGTGATCAATAAATTAGAAAGTACCATCAAGTACAACATTGATAGCGGTAGGCATGCCTACATTCTTGTTACAAAAATTTAAAAAAAAATAAGAAAAAAAAAACTAAATTAAGCTCTCAAAATGCTCACAAAAAGGACAAACCAAAAAAGGAGAAAAAATAGGAAGAATTGAAAAAAGTAACTTGAAATCTCACACAATCTAAGTGGCACATGGGGAAAAGAAAAGGAAGAAAAAATAGTGGTCCTACCTTGTTGCAAAAAAAAAAAAAATCTGTTTTTTATGAGGGAATGGAAATATATGATAGAGAAGAGAAGCCTAAAAGCAATAAGAAAAAAGACGCAGGAAAAGTGATGGGAAGTGTTTGGCTAATTAAAGGGAAAAAATGTAAATTATGAGTTGAAGGTAAGGAAAGAGAATGGAAGAATCCTAGGAAAAAAGTAACGACTTTTCCTTAATTGTTTTTAGAGAAAAGTTATATAAATGAATGGTGCATCAACTTGAAATCATGCAGACAAGTTCTCACACAATTAGAGTTATGCGAGAGGAAAAAAAATAAAAAATAAAGAAGAGAAGAAGAGTAGTCTTAACTTGTTGCAAATAATAATAATAATAAATAAATAACTTCTTCTCACGGATTGGACATTTCTTAGAGAAAACCCAACGAAAGAACTAAGCAATAAGTGAGAGGGAGCCATGGGAAGTGTGAATGACAATAAAGTGCAAATTATGAGGTGAATGAAAGGACAATGTTGGAGGTGACATTTCATACTCTTGTTTGGGGAGAAGATAATTTTATGTTGTGCTTGTTAGGCATTTTGCATAGTCAAGTCATAATTTTAATACTTTAACATGTTAGGTAATACATTGTGTTTGGAGTCTGAATTTTGGTAGGGATTTAAAAAGAAAGCAGAAAAAAATGTGTGAAATGTAATATATTTTATTCATATTTTATTTATCTTTTTTCCTCTTCAATCTAAATTTCTACCAAAATCCATACTTCAAACACATGCAATAATCCCATATGATAGCTTGGCATTAGTGTGAAATTCATGAAACAGTTGAACAATCTCACTTTTCATAATGGACCAACATTTTTTAATGCAAGCCAAATTAAAACCATCAGGACCGGGGGCCTTGTTCCCATCACAATCTTGAATAGCTACCCAAATCTCAGCTTCCGTGAATTCTGCCTCCAATTTAACTGCTGCCTCTGAGTTAATAACATTAAAAGGGCCCGAAAGCTTTGGCCTCCCAGACCAACACTCCTTAAACTGCTTGCTAAAGTGCCTCACCACAGCCTGTTTAATCTGAGCAGGTTCCTCCAAGCACTCCCCTTCCACGCACACTGAGTCCAACAAGTTCTTTCTTTGTCTACTGCAAGCCATTATGTGGAAAAACCTAGTGTTCTTATCTCCATTTTGGGCCCAGAGCACCCTGGACTTTTGATGCCACAACCTTGCCTTATCTCTGCATAATTTCCACACCAGACTTCTAACTTCTCTTCTACTACTAATACCTGCATCATCCAGAGACCCAGACTCTGCCTGCAAATCCCACTCATGTAACTCCTCCTCAGCAGACTTTAATAGATCGTCAATATTTCCAAACACCTCCTTATTCCATATCCTTAGATGGGATCTTAAATCCCTTAGTTTCCTCATGAGTCTAAACCCAGCCCAACCTGACACCTGATTATTTTCCCAAATCTGTTTGACAGCAGGCATAAATGAAGGGTGAGCTAACCATGGATTTAAGAGCTTGAATGGTTTGGGTCCCCAATCCCTTTCATCTTCCTTCAATAGAATAGGGCAATGATCTGATACTGTTCTAGGTAAACCCCATTGCTTAAAGGAGAATATTTCTAACCACCTAGAATCCAGTAGAAATCTATCAATCCTACTCCATCTCTCCCCTTCCACTGCATTGCACCATGTGAACTGCCTACCTAACATAGGTAAATCTGATAGTTCCAATTTGTTAATAAACTCATTAAAATCCTTCATCCCCCTCTCCCGCCTGGAGCACCCTCTCCTCTTAACTTGTTGCAAATAATAATAATAATAAATAAATAACTTCTTCTCACGGATTGGACATTTCTTAGAGAAAACCCAACGAAAGAACTAAGCAATAAGTGAGAGGGAGCCATGGGAAGTGTGAATGACAATAAAGTGCAAATTATGAGGTGAATGAAAGGACAATGTTGGAGGTGACATTTCATACTCTTGTTTGGGGAGAAGATAATTTTATGTTGTGCTTGTTAGGCATTTTGCATAGTCAAGTCATAATTTTAATACTTTAACATGTTAGGTAATACATTGTGTTTGGAGTCTGAATTTTGGTAGGGATTTAAAAAGAAAACAGAAAAAAATGTGTGAAATGTAATATATTTTATTCATATTTTACTTATCTTTTTTCCTCTTCAATCTAAATTTCTACCAAAATCCATACTTCAAACACATGCAATAGGACTAATTACAATTGGACAGTTATGAAATATTAGACAAATAATTTATCTCACTAATTATAAATAGTAATACACATTAACTAAAATAATTAGACAAAATAAGAAGTGTACTTTTAATAGGCAAAATATTTTGTAGTGTTGGAGGTGTTCTAAAAGTCTAATTATTATACATACCCTATCCTAAGAAAAGTTGCAACATTTTGTGACTAATTTTTTGAACAGCAAAAAAGTAGATATTATTGATATAAACTAAAATTGTACAAAGTACATCATACCTATCATTAAGGGAAAAAAAAAAAGAGAACTCATACATAACCATCTAGATTTTTGTGGGTGAATGATTTGCATGATGAAAATTAAATTCATAGTGTGGAGTTAATATGTAGAACAAGTTTAAACCATAAGATAACAATTTTAAGTAATTTTTAAATAATTAAATCTAAATTAATGGTATTGTTGTTAAAAAAATACTGCATCGAGATTAGAAGTTACATCCCAATAACATATGAATCCAACGAATCATATGCAAAGACTTGGCCCAAATGAAAACACTTAGGTTGGCAAGATACAACAAACAACCTCAATATATAAAAAGAAAAGACACAGAAAACAAGTTGAAATACAATCAAGTATTCCTCAATCTCAGTGTAATTAGGAAGAAGTGCACCAAAAATTTTCATTACGAATTTCACTTTGTTTGGTTATCTTTTTTTTTTTCAATTAATTTTTTTTTTATTTTTAGTAATTTTTTAAATTATTGTACGTATTTTTTTTAGATATATCTTATCTAGATACACTAAAAACGTATAATATTTGTATAAAAAAAAACTTTGAAAAATTACTAAATACAAAAAAATATAAAAATAATACAAAAATTCAATATAATTTTCTATTCTTGTGTTTAGGATGGTCTAAAATAGTCATTAATACCCCATCACATTACACTACCTACTTTTTTACAAGTCTTTTCATAAAAAGCTAAATAGCCAACTAGCCTATTCCCAAATGGAGTTTTTATTGATTTTTTTTTAATATATTTTTTCATAATTACTTTACTTTTTAAGTATATCTAAATTAAGTGCATCTAAAATGTAACCAAAAAAAAAATATTTAAAAATTCACTAAAAACAAAATAACACAAAAAACAAATTTTATTTTTCAGAAAATAAATCAAATCCAAACAATATGATTATATTGTGAATTTTTTGGTTATGATATAAACATTCAAAAGTTATAAATTTTTTGGGTGAACAAAGTTATGAATTTATGTGATTTTATTACGAATCATTGTAGTGTAGTTACCAAAAAATAAACAGTATATACTTTTTTAAGGGTGTGTGTAGTAGAATTTTCCTAAGGTTGGTTTGGATGATGAATTTGGATAGATATTTAGAAAGTAAAAAAGAAAATATAGGTGAAATGTGAATGAAATATAACTATATTTTACTTTTCATATATTTTTTTCCTATTCATTTCTTAATCTATGCTCTAAACACGACCTAAGTATTAATGAAATGGAGGTGCAAAACCCAAATATGAAAGTTTTGAAAAAAAAAAAATATTAAAATCTCAAGCACCTCTTGATATGTGACAAAAATAAACAAATAACGCTTGACATTTGCAATATTTTGCCAAAAATCCTTGATATTGATAAGTTGTTTCAATACAGCAATGCCAGTCTTTAACATTTCATTACAAGAAATCACACTTTTGCCGAGTAAAAATTTGGTCGGCAAAAGTTATTCGCCAATTGAGGGTCGGCAAAAGTAATTAGCGACCAAAACTTTTGTTAGTTGGGAAAAAGTTGGATTTGCCAACTAAATTTTTTGTCACTAAATATATCATTACCGCGACTAATCCATTTAGTCGCTCAAACACTTTAGTCGCGAAAAGTGACATATTCCCGACCAAACATGTTAGTCGCCAATTGTCACATTCCACGACTAAAAAGTTTGGTCGCCAATTATTATATTCAACGACCAAAAAGTTTGGTCGCCAATTGTGACATTCCACGACCAAAAATTTTGGTCGCCAATTGTGACACTCTACGACCTCTTAGTTTGGTCGCCAATTGTCACATTCCACGACCAAAATAATTAGTCGCCAATTGTCATATTCCACGGCCAAACATGTTTGTCGCTAAAAGAAATGTTTGTGCAACTAAAACTTTAGTCGGCAATAGACCTATTCGCGACCAAATCCTTTGGTTACCAAAATTAATACTTTTAACGACTAATTATTTAGTCGCCAAATGTGCTAGGTGATACACTAACTACTTTATTTTACTTTATTTAGTTGGCAAAAGGATAACTTATCTTTCCTGACTTATCTTTCCACATACCTCTGTCTGCTATTGTGCACTTTACGGACAAGCGACCAAATCTCTGTTTGGTTTGGTGCCCTAAACTCTAAAGTAATTAATCAACTCTACAGAAGTCAACACCTTTAAGTCCTGCAAAATTATTAAACAAATTTATGTGGTGGTTCTTTTAAAATATTTATTTGTTTAAATAGTAAGATTTATTAGTTTTTTTGGTTGGTGTTTCATAAGATAACATAAAAGCATCAATTGATAAATGAATAAAATAACACCTAATAATTTTTTCCATTTGATTTGCTGAATAAACAAATGGCAATCCTATGTCCAAATCATTTCTTCCTCTTTATACTAGATCAACTCTGCACTACACAATCATGTTAAAAATATTTATCGTGCTGTAGGATATAGAATTTGAGACAAGAGAATAGGACGAGATTGTGTAAAACTCTACTGTTGGCAATAGTATGGTAAGCGTGGAGGATTTTAAGTGCTCTTGTGGGTTATAAGCAATTGTAAAACTAGTCTTTGGGTGACATCAAGTGTTGGCTTAAGCTAGAGTTGGTTTCTCACCAACATTATGCTTTGTTCCCCTTTTTGTTTTTTCCTTTTCATCCTTATTGATGTAAACTCATATGTAATGTATGTTTTCTTCATCAATAAAGATTTTCTTTGCTAATAAAAAAAAATAGGAGAGATGCTCCCCTATCATATAAACTCGGATTAAAATTTCGACTACTTTATTTTTTTTTCTTAACCCCACATAAATCCCACTTGGGCAAGGTCTATAACATAATTAGGACTTTTAGTCTAGTGGTTGTATAGTACTACTTGTGATTAATGGAAGATGTGCTACCCTGTATATAACCCATAATTTTTCTGTGTACATAGATTCACTCTCTTTTTTCATTTATTTTTTTATTTTTAAGTCTCTTCTTAAAAATTCAACTCCAACTTGTAAAGGATGGTATTTAGGGTAAGTCCTTGTAGAGCTTGTGGCTCATTTAAGGGTACTTAAAAAATGGAATAAATCCAATTAACCAACTATAACTAGTTAGGAAATCCAATTACAAATAACTTACAAAAGCTTTAAAAAAAAATTGGTTCTCATTAAGTATATTTCCCGATATAAAAAAGGATACTTAAAGAAAAAGGAGAAATAAAACACTACAAGAACATCACAGATTGGGGGACTTCATAAATAACAGAATGAAATCCTATTATCGACATATACCAGCAGCAAACATCAACACAAACATTGACAATGAGGGAGACACATGCAAAGACTGAGTGAGTGAGAGTGATACAAAGGATTTATACCTGAAATTGTTTTTAGGGATAGTTGAAGATGCTCCAAAAAATCGCGATGGTGAGAGCCCTGGTAGGCGAGACATTGTAGAACAAGACGAGTATGAGAAATCAAAGAGAAAAAGTGAGACACAAAGATATAAACAGAGAGAGACTATTATAAGTTGAAAAAAATACCTAGATGAATCAGAAATGGCGAAGACGGACGACGGCGCAAACGGTGGAGAGGCGAGGATGGCGGATGACAAGGTTGATGGTAAGGTGAGGTGATCGGCGCAACTGAGCTGTGATCGAATTCGACTAAAGTGTGAAAGAGGCGCGCATTTATTTTTATGTGTGTTTGAATTAGTAAAGTTATCCCCTACAAACATGTTGGTCAGCTAATGGCTGAGTGTGCATTTAGATACCAAAACGACGTCGTTTTGGTATCTGCGACCAAATTTTATTAGTCACTAAAAGATCATACTGCTCCTGCCCAAATTTCCTTCTCCCATCTATATTTTTGGCAACAAAAATTTTAATTTGGTCACAAAAAATTACTTATTTGCAACAAAATATTTTCAGTCGGTAATACTATCAATTTTAAGCTACGAAAGCTTATTTTGGTCTGCAAATGTCATTTTTTCGTGACCAAAATTTTTTTGGTCGACAAATGTGTAAATTCTTGTAGTGTTTGCAGGTTGCATCATCTATATACCCCAATCAGTGTTCAAAAGGCCATCGATATTAATATCTTCAACAAAATTACTCTTCTACCATTTAATTTATTTGTTCTTCTTTTCTTTTTTTTTCTTTTTTTGAAATTTTAAAATCAAACATAAATTATAAAATATAAAAAAATGAATATCCCTGAACTTTATTGTCATACACTCCTATCCAATAGTTGAAAAACACCAGCTCCCTAAAACTTGTGC